TTCCAATATCAGCAAGATCAGAATCAACCCTGTGAAACTCTGTTCTTTACATGGAGTCTCAGTGGGGCCGTGGGGTAACGGGGGCTGTCAGCAAGCGGCCTGCCTTATGCAGAGCTCTTAAAAACCTGAGGCTCAGGAGAGGCACATCAGTGCTTTTTTTAGTGTCTTCTGTTCGAGTCCTCAAGCGCATCCTTTTATGTGCATTTTTGGATGTTTTGCTGGATGAACGCTTGAGCTGACGGAACTGTTAGGAGTGAGCTTTTATGAGCCATGCTACCGTCCTCAGCCTGCTGCGGGAGAGCAAGCCTTGGGGCGGGTTTGACACGCAGGTCAATGTTTTGCTCATTCTGTGATTTCCAGACTTGTAGGCCTGGAGGATTCATGGTGGTCATCCTGTCCCTCAGTCTCTGGAGAATTTCTGTATTTTAAATTATAAGCCACTGGACCAGAGCTTTTCCACTGAGATGGGTGCCCCTCACCACCAGTATATAGGACCGCACTTTCACGTATGCATTTGTACTGTTCCTTGCACCAAAGGAGTAGTTACACCAGGAGACATGGTGAGATTCCCTCACGTTCCTTCTTTCTCCCAACCTCTAGCTAGGAGTGATTTCCTTTTATATGGAAGCGCTGCTGCCATAACACATTTCACAATAGCCTGAGGGCTAGAAGAAATAATCCAGCACTTGTGAGATCCGAAATCAATTTTTGCCTCTCTGAGGTGTGCTCATGCGTTTGGACTCAGTCCTGGGAAAGCGTATTTTGGGAAGTGTCCTATTCTGCTGCTGTGCGGTAAGTGTATTTTGAGGGGTCTGAGGCAATTCTTTTGTGATTCTGACTGGGCCTAGATGCGAGTAAGGTGCCAGGTTGCTCAAACAAAAGCAGTTCTGGGCATGACCAAAGTAAAACTGTAGGTACTGAGGGGAGGTTACGTGAAAGGGAGGTGCCGTCTGAGTTTCGACATGTTCCTGGTTGGGTGGCAGCTGGGTAGGGATCACAATTTTGGATTTAAATGCCTGACTCTCCTCTCAATCCTGCGGTAGGTGTGTACATCTTGTATTAGAGTTAGTCCCTGTAGGTCTTGATGAAGATAGCTTGTAACCATCTTGGCCTGAGACGCAAATACG